GCCGAGGAGCTTGCGCGCGGGCGCGAGGCGGCGGCGGCGGCGGCCGCCGCTGCGGCCTCGCGCGCAGAGGCCGTCGAGGCCGCCGCCCAGGCCGCGCGCGCTGAGCTGGACTCCGTCAAGGAGGCGGCCGCAGCCGCGGCGCGCGAGGCGGCGAGCGGGGCGGGGGCCGAGCTTGAGGCAGCCCAGGGGGAGCTTGCGGCGCTGCAGGAGCGCCTCGCCGCCGTGGAGGGGGACGCGAAGGGGCGGGAGGGCGAGGTTTCGGATCTGCAGGCCCGCCTGGCGGCGGCCGCGGGCGACCTCGAGGTGGCACGCGAGGCGGCTGCGGCGTCCAAGGCGGCCGGCGACGCGGCCGTCGCGGAGGCGGCAGCCCTCGAGGAGAAGCTCGCGGTGGCCGAGGCGGCGTCACAGGCGGCCGCTGAGGCCGCCGCCGAGGCCGCCGCGGCTGAGGCAGCCTCGCTGAAGCAGCAGCTGGCCGAGGCCGTGGCGTCCGCCACCGCCGCTGCTGCGGTGGCGGCCGCGGACGCGGGGATCGCCAAGGAGCAGCTCGCCGCGGCCGAGGCGGCGTCCAAGGCGGCCGCCGAGGCCTCGGCGGCCGACGCGGCGGCGCTCAGGCAGCAGCTCGCCGCCGCCAAGGCCGCGGCGGCGTCGTCGGCGGCGGAGGTCGCGGCGGCCAAGGAGCAGCTGGCCGCTGCCGCGGCCGCCGCCGGCGCGGCCGGGGACGCCGCCGCCGCTGAGCTGGCGGCCCTCAAGGTACGCCTGGACGAGGCGCTCGGCCGCGCGCAGGCGTCGGAGGCGGAGCGCGACGCGCTGCAGGCAGAGCTGCGCGACGCGCGCGCGGCGCAGGCGGCCCAGCCGGGCCCCGAGGTGGATGAGTTGAAGGATCGGCTCGAGGCCGCCGAGGCGCGCGGCGAGGCGGCGGCCGCGGTGCTCAACGCGGTGCAGGCAGAGAAGGATGAGCTGGCGGCGCACGCGGGCCAGCTGCGCAAGGCGCTGACTGCGGCGGAGGCACGGGTGGAGGAGGCGCGGGCGGCGGCGGAGCGGGACGCGGCGAAGGCTGCGGAGACCGTCAAGCGGGTGCGCGGTTTGCATCGCGTGTGTTATCTTGGGTGCTCTTTGATTGTGGGGACTGAAATCAAGCATGATGTGACCACATATGCATGTGCGCGTAATGCGGGCACGTGCGTGTACATGTGTGCATGCGTGTGCCAGCGAGCTTGGCCATCAGCACGAGCGCCCTGCTGGCTACCTCACCCACCCGATTGGACAGCGTAGATCGAGTGCGACTGCGCTTGAGCCCATCTTCACCACTGATTTGACCACCCCCCTCGCCCAACACCCCCTCACCCTCCTTCACCCTGCAGCTGGAGGACGAGGCGGAGGGCAGCCTGCAGCAGTGCCTGCTGCTGCAGGCGGAGACCGCCAAGCTGAAGGCCTCGCTGGCTGCGCTGGAGACGGAGACATGCCACAGGCGCGGGGCGGCGCGCTGCTTCGGGAGTCTGCAGTGGGGGTGGCCGGGGTCTGCTGCCACGCACGCTGCGGCCTTGTGTGCTTTCAGCCCCACTTACGCGCTGGCCGACCACCTTGCCGTTGCAGCACTAAGTGTGTTGCTCTCCGCTCGGTCTCCAGACCCCAGCTCCCACATCGACAGCACACCTCCGACCTGCGGCCCCTCCATAACACCCTCCCTCAAAATCCCGCCCCCCTCCCCACACCCCCAAACCTCTGACCCCCCCAGGGAGGGTGTGCTGGACCTGGTGGCGAGCGAGCTGGCGGAGCTGTCAGACGCGGGCGCCGTGCTGGCGTCCCTGCAGGCCAACCTGCCGCCGGCGGCGCCGGGCAACCCCTCCACCAGCAACCCCGGCGGCCTGCCGGCGGCGGCCGCGGCCGCGCGCGAGCAGGCGGCTTGAGGTGTTCTCGCCACCCCTCGCCGGCCGCGGCGACGAGGTCAGTTGGCGTGGGTTGGGGCAGCAGGAATGGCAAGGCGGATGCGGGCCTGCATGTAGCGCAGTGGCAGGGCAACACACATCAAGCAGGAGGGGTGCATTTGAGCACATCAACAGGATGGCACCGACGAGCATTGGCTGGCCACCCCATGCCGCTGCACTTACGTGATCCCCTTTTTCCAATGGCCAGTATATTGCATGCCCTTCCTGGGTCTTTATTTCGCAAGCATGCCAGGCGGACTGCGCGTGGAGAAAGCAGACAGAAATTCCAGGTGCCTTGTGGCGAGCACACCGCATGCGCGCCCCTCGCATCCGCGCTTTGATGCCAGCACATCTGTGATCCCCCCTGTGGGCACGCCGCCGCGCACCCGCAGCGCGTCATGCGCGTCAGCTCTCATCTGACGACTCGATTGCGAGTGCCCTTATTCCTGCCTTAAACATTCACTTTTATGTTACCGCCGTTGCGCGCTGGCACACGAGCGCGCAATGTGCGGCGCTCAGGCGCTGCGGCACCGGGGCCAGCGCCAAAAATAAACACGAACGATGAACACGTCACTGCATCTCAAGAGTGTAAACTGCTTGCAACCGCTGACAAGGGCACAAAGAAATGCAGGGCAAATGTATCCACACGCAGGAATGCCCTCAGCAGGGATGGGGGTCGAAAACAAAAACAAACATCAACAGCGTGCCAGGGGATGCGTGCATGTCGGCGTCGGTGGGGGCAGCTAAGCCTCCGCGGGCCCTGTCACACCCGCCCGGCCCTCTGCTCGTATCTGCCGGAGCAGCAGCTTGAAATTCGATGTGAGGACCACGGGCTCGCTCGCGCCCACGTCAGCCTCCAGATCCGCCCGCTCCTGCTGCTGCTCCCCGCCCGCCGCGCCCGCCGCCGCCGCCGCCGCCTCCTCCCCTCCGCCCGCCGCCGCCGCCGCGCCGCCGCCGCCGCCGTCCGACGGCCGCTGCTCCACGCCGCTGCGCGCCTCGTCCTCGGGGTCGCTGGACGCGAGGGCCGAAATGGCGACGCCCACCGACACCACTCTGTCCTTGGGCAGCTCCATGCGGCCCTCCACCAGTCGGCCCTTGTAGGTCAGCAGGAACGCCCTCAAGGGGATGCGCACGTCCGTCCAACCCGCGGACCGCCTGGCAGGGTCGGCCCCAGGGGGTGTGGCGGCGCGTCGTGGCGCAGGCGGGCGGGCGCGGGTGACTAGGGCGGCATTTGGGGCCTGGGGCGCAAACGCAGACCCCGAGCGGCGTGCGGGGCGGAACGACACGACACGCACTAAGCATCGTGGAACCGGCAGCGCCGCCGCCACGGCCCGCGATGGCGCCTGCTGCCTCTTTTTTCCCCCTGCGCCGTCCCGCGGCCTGCGCAGCTCGCCTGGTGGTGAAGGGGGCCTGCCAGACGTCGCCGACGCCGCCCGCGAGCGAGTCCACCCGCACGTTTGCCATGTAGGTGTGCCCGTCGCCACGGACGGTGTATACCAGGTGGGTGAAGACGTCCAGGTCAAAGTAGTCGCCGATGTGGGTCACCTGGTGTCATGGTGTAAGAAGGGCTAGTGTTGGGGTTGCTGTTGGGAGGATTTCTCATGTGGGCTGAGTATGAAGGTTCTTGTCATGTAGACACAGGCATATGCATACTGTGTATATGCATATATGTGCTAATACGTATGCATATGTGACTGTATATGTAAATGTCCACACATGTACATGCATGTGTCAGCGTGCCAATGCGCCCGGCGGCGTGCGAGCTGGCGCGCATGCTGGCGGTGATTGCGCAGCGGCTGGTCAGACACAGGTCAACGTGGCTGGGAGACGAGGGTGCAGGCGTCCCAGTGTGCACGGGGTTGGGTGCAAAAGACGGGCGCGGGCGCGGGCGCGGGCGCGCCTTGCTGTTGGCGGCGCAGTAGCCGGCGCGCGCCAGGTCAGCGTCGTCGTCCAGCTCGGTGCTGCAGCGGCCGGTGAACGCCGCGGCGCCCTTTGAATGGAGGCGGTTGGGATGGGACGGGAAGCGCCTGAGCAGCAATGTTGATTTGGGAACGTACTGCTCCGGAGACGAGCTGTCCGCGGCCACGGCTGGGCGCCCGGGCCGAGTGCCAGGCGCTGCTGAGCAGGCTGGGCCGGCGGCTGGCAGCTGCCCCGGCAGGCTCGCGTCCTGATTAAGCGGGCGTGCAGCAATCCGTAGGCGTAGCATGCATGTGTCTCTGCCC